CAAGACAATATATTATCTAGTTGAATCATGGGTGAATGCTGGTCACATGGTATCTAAGATCTGGCAAGATACTACGGTAAGAAGTTATCGACAAGCATTTTTGGACGGTCTATCAACAGGATTGCGAGGAGCAACTGGAAACGGATAACGACTAATTGTCGCCCATGTAGGTAGTGAAAGTGGTTTTTTAAACGACAGTGCCTTAGTTTTTTTATCTAAAAAAACAGGGGACTATCACGAAGACATGGACGCTCAACGCTTTGAAGGTTGGTTTGAAACTCTACTTACACGGATCTAGAATTCAGTGATAGTTATTGATAACGCTTTTTATCACAGCCGTTTAGTGGAACCTCTGCCCACTATGGCCACTAAGGACATGGTTAAAGGGAAGCTTATAACCATACTTAAACAGCATCGAGACAGATATCGTCAGCATGTTGTAGATACATTGTCTCTTGCTCGAGATATAACCGTATTAAGATTTCATCCGCACCATTGCGAATTGAATCTGATAGAACTTATTTGGGCTTAAGTAAAGGGATACGTAGCTCGTGATAACGTGACATTTAAAATAGTAACGTCCAAAGTTTACTGGAAATCGGAATGGCACGAATACGGAAAGAAGATTGGACAAATGCCGTAACCCACGTCATCAAGGAAGAAGACAAAATGTAGAGATTGGACGGGATGGTGGACAATGTAATCGAAAAGGTGGTGATAGAATTCAATACCTGAGAGGATTCTAGTTCTGAGGATTCTTCAGCATAAATCAATATTTTTTATTTTATTCTTGATTACTGATTTATATGTGATTTGTGTGAGTATATTTCTTTTTTATTTAATATTTGATTTACCTTATGTAATAAATAATCTAAGAATTGCTAAATTCTTTAAGTATTTTTTTAACTTTAAATTTATTGATTATCAGGTCATACTTTTTTAATTCCTATCAATTTTTTAAATTACATTTTGTTCTGTATTTAAATTTAAATGCACTTTTAAAAATTGTAATAGTATTACTGAGGTGCGCAAGTAATATTATAAATTTGGGTCCTGGATTAGTCAAGGTAATTTAAAAGAAAACTTTAACAGATGACGATCAAAAAATATTCGCAAATTATTTATAAAAGTTACCATAGTATGGTAAAATTTGTAATTAGTTTTACAAAACCAAAAATCAGGAATGAAAAGTGGTCCTACAATATGGTTACCTAATATGCCATACCAGACATTTATTTTTTCATGGTATTGGGTATGATACTCACGGAATAAGTTTGAGTTACTGTTATCCCAGTAACAGTAATTATACCTATTGAAAGTTCCATTGAAATAAAATGTACACTCATCGGAAGAACGAATATTAAATAATAAATTAAGATCTGCAATTAAAAACTGGCTTATTTCTTCACAAAACTGCAGCCTTCTTTTAGGATTATTCTCGTTCAGCTCTGGTACTAATCTACTCGTAGTTTTGTACAGATGAAATTTGTGAGCTTTTAAAATCCTTATTATAGATGAACGAGAAACACCCGAGACTTCAGCTAGTTGACGAGTACTTTGCGTATAATTTAATTCAACATGTCCCAAAATACCGACTTCCACAGCTTCATTTCTGACTCGCTGCACCTGAATTTTCTTATTAGAGACATATCCAGTATCGGAAAACTTTTGTTACTATTTTGGTAAAATACGAATGATTCACATTTTTATTAAATTGTTATTAAACAACCGAGCAGTAAGCCTAGCGCCGATGATCTAGTGATCATGGCACAGGGAAAATACAACACTATAGTAAGAGATCGAATGCAAGAGGCTCTAAATATAGTAACAAAATGGACAGAGGCGAAAGGACTAAACATTAGCCCAAACAAATCTGACATAATTGCATTCACCCGCAGGAGAAAATTGGAGGGACTAGGGCCTCTAAACCTAAGAGGTGCAAGCATCCAGCTTAAGGGGGAGGTAAAATATCTCGGGGTTATGATTGACTCGAGACTTACCTGGAGCCAGCATCTAGAAAGAACCACAAGGAGAGTGGAAACCTCATTAATGATGGCAAGGCGATCCTTTGGAAAAAAATAGGGGTTAGAACCAGACATGGTATATTGGATTTATAACATGGTGGTGAGACCCATAATAACATACGCAGCTTTAGTGTGGTGGCCAAAGACACAGCAAAGGAAAGCAATAACGAGGCTTAGCAAGGTACAAAGACTTTCCTGCCTCGGAATAACGGGGGCAATGAAAACAACCCCCACTGCTGTAATGGAAGCACTAATAGGACTCTCCCACCTCTTCACTATGTGATACAAGGGGAGGCAAGATTAGGTGCTTACAGATTAGGGAATACACTGGGAAATCTTGACATTAGGCCAGGTCACATGAGTATCTCAAGGTTAGTGACAGGAGACGTGCTAGACATGAGATCAGACCACTTAACCAAGAGGTACTCTTTTAATACTCCCTTTGAGGTTTTAATACAGGAAAGAGCGGAGATCACCATAAGGGAGCCCAATGCCCAACGACAGGAACAAGCCTGGTATACAGACGGGTCTAAGACTACGGAAGGCACTGGGGCAGGAGTATTCTCCAAACACCCTGATACTAACCATAGCTATGCTATAGGAATACATTCCTCGGTATTTCAGGCCGAGGTATACGCAATTTTGCAATGTGCAAAAACGAACAATGAAAGAGCTGTCGAAAATCAGCATATTCAAATAATGTCAGACAGCCAAGCGGCACTTAAGGCCATATCGAGTCAGAAAGTTACGTCGAGGCTGGTATGGGAATGCATCGAAGAACTAAGAACACTGGCAGACCGAAATAGAGTAAAACTATTTTGGGTGCCAGGTCACAAAGGGATCGAAGGCAACGAAAAGGCTGACGAACTTGCAAAAAGAGGGTCAGAAGAAATACCGGAACCAGACACAAACCCAGGAGTACCAAAAAGTACAGTCCGGGGTTTTATAAATGACTGGATTCAGGAACAACATATCAACTATTGGGGAAGCACCCCAAAACAGGCACATGGAAAAGCCTTCATAGGCAGACCATGTCCCAAAAGAACTGGAGAACTACTCTTAATGAATAGGAACCAGTTGAAAGTGATAACAGGGTTCATGACTGGGCACGCCCCAGTAAAGGGACCCTTGAACAAAATTGGCATGTACAATGGGGAACTCATGTGCCGACTATGTCACAAGAAACCAGAAACGGCCAAACACATACTGTGCGAATGCGAAGCTCTAGATCGCAAAAGACAGGCTCTTTTTGGACAACCCCAGGTTGATCCAACAACGTATAGAACCCACTCACCCAAGGATCTGTACAAACTTGTACAAGGTACAAAGGTGATAGAGTGGGTGCTATGAACTAACATGAGGTTTCAGGAAAACAGGAAAGGCTAGGTGCCTAATTTTAGCCCTCAAGAGGGCATTTGACACAACAATATTGGTATTGCTGAATTTCTTATAAAATCACCTTTTCAAAACTGTGCCACACTTAGTACTTTCCCTATCTAAATTCTGGAGGTTGTTCACCCCACTGCTCGAGGGTTGAAGTCTCAATGATGCAATTAGGAAAAAATGTCTCTTCCTCCAAACAAAAATCGACATGTCCCCGAGCATTTCTTCTTTAAATCTCAGGGAACCAAGAAAAAGGGGGTGGTACTTTACACTGAATATTTGGACTTATTCTTGCAATAAAATAAAAATAATATACATATCTATATAACTAAGCAGTTTATTCTTTATTAAAAAAAGTTAAACGGCGTTATTTCAAAAAAAGGCGATGTATCTCCGTACATTTCAAATGAACTAGACCCCCTTCACCCCCATTTTCAATAAAACAATTTTCAGAATCAATACGCTTCATCTCCTTTTCCTGAAGATTTTAGTTTGATATCGTGAGGATTTGTTTCAATATTTCAACCCCCCCTTAACCTCTAATTTTGATTCAGATTTTTTCAGAATCAAAAGGCTTTATTCCCTCATTTTTTTATTTTTAAATTATGATTTATTTTTTAATTTCAATTTGATATTGTTTTTTGTTGCTGAGTTAAGATTTTTTTCAATATTTCAACCCCTTATCCCTCCATTTTTATTCAGATTTTTTGTAGAATTAATAGGCTTCATTCCCTTACAGTCCCTTACAGAGCTTAATATTTTGCTTAAAAATTTTATGTTAATATCGCTTTTGGTGTTTCATTTCTATTTTAATTATTTCAATCCCCTTAACTCCCCATTTTGTTCACATTTTTTTTTTTTTTTTTAATCAATAAACTTTACTTCCTTATAGTTGGATTTTTGCTGAAAATTTTAAGTTGATCTTTTTTCGTTTTTGAGTTAGGATTTTTTTAATATTTCAATTCCCTCAACCCCCCATTTTTGTTCAGATTTTTTCATAATCAACTGGCTTCATTATAAAACTTGATTTTTTCTGAAGATTCCAATTTCATCTCGTTTTTTGTTTCTGAGTTAGGATTTTTGTCAATATTTCAACCCCCTCAACCTCTATCCTCTTATAGAGCTTGTTTTTTTACTAAAAATTTCATGTTGATACCGCTTTTCGTTTTTGATTTATGATTATAGAGCTTTATTTTTCTTGAAATTTTCAAGGGTAATATACAAAGACCTTGATAATAGTCAGCTATTTTTGTTAAATCTAAATCTCGAGAATGTTTTAATATCAATTTGATGAGACACAATTTTTTGCATTAATAATCTGATTAGAGTCCGAGAGCTTCAGCTCGAGGGCTTTAATCAATTGATTATTAATGCCAAAAATATGTAGAAAATTTCACGTAAATCGGAACATAAAATTATTCTTATTAAATGTCAGTTTAAATTTATTTCTGAGCCTAGTTATCACGGACGTGAGTCGTATCTCTGTCTTAGTTGATCATGACCTACTTTAGAAACATTTTTATTGATCACTCTTTATAAAACATAAACCGTAAAGAGAATATTAAATAAGGTAAAATTTAAACAAAACCTCACCTGCAATCTATTCCTTGTGGTTTAGATGATATTTCAACCACAGTTATTACAAACATGCAAGCAAAGAGAATAACTTTACAGTATTTTGAAGTAAATTCCCTGTGATGTTTTTTCTGAAACAAAAAAGAAATAGTATTTGTTAATATGACCTTTTTCCATGTACACTTTCAAAGTGAGAATATGGCTATGCTTGACTTCTGCTATTAACTTTTTACTCTCCCTATATGTGATGTCCGAAGTATGTATTTTTATTAAGGCCGCCGTTTCATTGTATTTTTCCTATAAGAAGCAAGGGTTCACCATTTCCTATTGCATTTAAATTCCGCTAAATGTATTAAGATGAATCTTCTACCAGCTTAAAGTATAAGGTTTGGAAAATGAAATTTCCTATTTTTTATGTCCTGTTTATACACTGAATTAAAAAAAAATCATAAAAAGTGATTTTAAAACCAGAGCTAAAAAGTATCCCGCCAAAATATTTCTAAATTTTATTGGGTATTTTTCAAATCTAAGCGGAAATACGATTATAAAATATTTGAGAAATTTGTTTGTCAAATTAGAGATTTTCTATGAACACCTGTAATTGTGTAGTTCATCTATTTTTAAGAAGATGTCACCATATAAAAATAATGTGGTTTAAATAGGTGAATGATTGTTTAGAGCAGCTGTACTCAACCTTTTGTTCTTTCGGGCCACATAAATCTGTTTGTTATGCTACACGGGCCACAATATCACAATATTTTTGCGTGATAGCCAAAGTTGCCACCTTTTTGAAATGCAAATAAAGCACAATGGGTGACGATAGGGATCCGCTTTAAATATTTTATTTTCTAAAAAAAATTCCTCATATTGTTTTAGGTTACATATAAAAAAAAGGTGTTCATGTTGTTTCAATAAGCTTTGGGAAAATTTATTTCAAAAAAAGGACTGTAGGTCATCCCTAATCATATTTTTTGGTGCTGCACAAAAAAGCTTGGAAGACCGTACAAAACAGCTTGGAGGGCCGCACAAAACATCTTGGAGGACCGCAAAATCAATAATGGATCTTATCGGTTTTTTTAATATTTCTCCGTTTTTTGCAGTTTGACCCCCAATTTTGACTTCAGATTCGTGTTCAGCGGTAAAAAATACGTCGGAAAATCTTTGTCGAACACCCAGCACAGACCACTTTTTTTTGTGGACCTGTGTAATTGTTAAATATGTTCATACAACTTTTATATTAATTTTTTTCGTATTTCCTATAATAAAACTGCTATCGGTCAATTACGCACTCATGAGACACCCTACCCTGTATATGTGTTAAAAGCTAACATTTTGGTATCGTTGGATAGATAAATTTGTAAGGAATTATATGCTAAAATAATATAACATGCATTTGAAAAAATTGAGTAAATTTAACTTGAAATTAGCCAAATTTAAGACTTGTTTCAAAACACTCTGTTTCGCCACTATTCGTTAGCTTAGTATCTTATTTCTGTATTTTGAACAATTTTGAAATCATTGTTAACCTACCTAAATTATGATAATTTAATTTGGGATCTGCATCATTGTCTAATCTCATAAAAAAACTGAAATAAAATAGAGGGTTTTATATTTAAAAAATATACCTTTTAATTTGTCAGGCAAAAACTCAACACCCTGTATGTCTAAAAATATTAATAAAATACATATTTTTGAAATCCGTATCACTTTTATTTGAAACCTGTTTTTGTTTCTATAACAAAAATTGAATTATTGAACAATTACTCACTAATGGGACAATCTATATATTATTCACACCTAACTTTCCCATCGCGCCATGTGCATACATATTATTCACAAGCAGCGCATGATTTCAGTCCACGAATAGGCATGGAATTAACAATATTAATTTAATTTGGTCTGGTAATATCTGCCTATCTTTTGTTACATAATTATATGTGACATCATTTTATTTCCGTTCATCTTCAAACAAAAGTCTTTTCTGTATAGATTGGCACAAATATATAATGTGCACAAACAAAAAAAATAAGTTATTGACGACAGGACCGTTCTTTATTACCTATTTTTAAGGCGTGAATAGAATATATGCACGCAACATATGTTTGTAATAATTTAATCCCGCTTCCCGTGTATATTTTATTCGCGCTTCTATTGGAAGTATTTACTCTTAAAACGTAGAAACAAACTTAAATTTTTAGAAAAACTACTTCGGCTCAGCGGACCCGACCAGAAAATACGCTTTGGCAGTCAACGTGTTTTAAATGCTTTTTTATTCATTTGTTGTTTAATTTGTGTTTATTTACTAATATTTCAAAAATGCTCATTTTTCTTATTGATTAACCGAAAATGCACACGTAATTTTTATTATTAATTGCAAATAGTACTGTAATTCTGAATTGATAAAAAAAGTGAAAATAAAAACTTAATATGAAAATATAAATTACGACTCTACAAATGAAGTGAAATTTTATGTTTAATTCAATTTCTTTTTTCTTACAAAAACATAATATCTGAAATATTTATCAGCAGTATGTCATTAGTTGCATACACACAGTATGTCTATGAAAGATGACAACATATAGATAACTTTTTTAATATTCATTTTACGAAAAAATGTTATTCTTCATAAAAATTCATGCATGGTCTAACCGAAAATGCAACCACCGGATATCAAATCTTATCAGTCGGTTACAAGGTTTGTCAAAAAATATGATTTTGCTCAAGATAAAATATCTGTATTTTCGAGAAACCCCATATACGACTGATAAATTTGATATCAGATGATTGAATTTTAGGTTTGAGACCATGCACAACTTTTTATGTAAAGCTACTTTTTTCCTAAAATTAATAGTAAAAAAATTCAATATGCTAAGTTAGAGGCATATGGAAAACCTTTATTAATATTTTAAGTTGAAAATATTCTTCATAAAAAGTTGTTCATGATCTAATACCTAAAATTTTTAACCATCTGATATCAAATTTTATCATTAGTATACGATATGTGTCAAAAAATATAATTTTGCTTATCAGTAAAGTTACCTTTATATTTAATAAACATCGTATATAATCATAGTTATAGAATTATGCAACTGTTTATGAAAAATAAGTTTTTTTTCCTAAAATTGCAGCCAACTTACGGAGACGTAGATATAAATGAGATTAAATTTTTTGAAAATAATTTTTACTGATGCAGATCTAAATAAAATATTGTGAGTAAATAAGGTAATAAAAACACTTTTTTTATTACATTTTTCTATTTTTCTGGCTGTAAGATATTTCGGTATATACAGGGTATTCCATTAAGAATGGGAGCAACTGAAGATTAACTGATTAGAAATAAGCCGATTAAGCAAAACATCTGTAGATAAAACATTACTCGTTTCCAAAAAACAGGGTATTAAAGTTGAAAATCAAAAATTATAAATAGCTACAAATTTTTATTACTCTGGTTAATTTCACTAAATTCGGCATACGTTATTGGTGTAATAAAATATACATATCAGCAAAAAATCAATTAATTAAGCTTTGTCAGTGGCGTACGGCATGGGCAAGTAACACCTTCACCCTTTCTAAATTTTAGTCCACTCTCCAAAAACTGTTGATGTTTTTCAAATGAAGTTGAGTTAGGTTTTGAGATATTCGCACTCAAAAGTGGATACTCTCTAATATACAGTGTGTCTACTTAAGTTATATGGAAACAATTTTTATTATTGATTTTAGGAGAAAAAGTTATTCCTGACAAAAAGTCCTGCATGACCCAAAACTTAAAATACATTCATCAGTTATCAATTTTTTCAAGCCGTATACGAGGTTTGTCAAAAAAAATGAATTTTGCTCAAGAGTAAAGTATGTTTATTTTTGACAAAATCGAAAATTTTCATTAAAAAAAGTTGATTAGAATTGAAAATTACATTCAAATATGCAATTACACCGATCTATCTGAAAAATCAGATTTTTTCTAGATTTTGCATTGATCCACTCAATTACGGTAATCCATAATTTTTTCTCTCTTCTCTACTATAAACATGATACGCTTGTCTTTCCTTGATGTTTGTGAAGAATTTAGCAATATTCTTAATGAAAATTTTCGATTTTGTCAAAAATAAACGTACTTTACTCTTGAGCAAAATTCATATTTTTTGACACACCTCGTATACGGCTTGAAAAATTTGATATCAGATGACTGTATTTTAATTTTTGGGTCATGCAGGACTTTTTATCAAGAATAAGTTTTTTCCTAAAATCAATAATAAAAATATTTTCCATATGGTTTCAACCTAAGTATTTTGAAATTCTGAAATTTTTAAATTTCGATTTTTTTTATTAAATTTCTAAGAATAGTACATTATTTATTTAAAAAAACATCAAAAAAATTAAAATTTTAGGTCCAAATAATTTTTGGAATAGTGACGTACAATTTAGGAGGGATGCGGTATTACGTACCAATGCTGTACGCCACTGAAAAAGTTAATTAAGGTAATTAATTTTTTTGCTGATAGGAGGATATTATGATACCAATAACGTTTGTTAAATTTAGTAAAATTGTAGTGAGTAATAAAAACATATAGCCCTAAATAAACGAGAAACATTTTATCCAAGCATGCTTCGTTTAGTTGTCTTATTTTTAATCAGAGAATCGTCAGTTGTTTTATGTCCCATTTTTAACGGAACACAATAATATTTTCCTACGTAATGATACCAAGATCTTTGTCCTTTGTTGACTGGACTCAACAATGAACTACTAACTAAATATACCAATGTCCCGAATCAAACTCCAAAACTTTTATTTACCTGCTACATCCAAAATATGTTTCACTGTCAAGAATTCGTTTACCTATCGCGTAGTGGCTCGGGGTGATGAATTTGTTATATTATAATAGTTACCGTTTAAAATAATAGAATTATTACGCCATCTGTTGAACAAAAGAACTATTAAATATGGAATATTGCTCCATCTGTTGAACAAAAGAATTCTTAAATATGACACATAAATGATATCAAAATTAGTTAATTTTACGAATATTGAAGTGTGCTACTGCGGCCTTAATGTGATATCGTACTTATTTGAGACAAATTACGATATACAGGGTATATTGTAAAATAGCCACACTTACTAAATCAATTTTTTGCTCACCTCATATACATCTATTTTTTATAATAGTGTTGTTTTTTAACACACACATACAGTGTCGGTCATTGAACGTTTGCACAAATACATGTGGAAATACTAGTGGGAGCAGAAACGAATAATATCAGCGTTTCTACTTTAAAATAATAATTTTAAAAACTATCACTTTTAGGGCCTATTCGCTCCGTGCGTGACAGCAGCGCCAATGCATTTAAGTACTAATGGACTGTTTATGCGTATACTGACAATACAATTTTTAACAGAATTCGTAATTAAAACGTATATATGTTAATTTTAATAAAAGTATATCGATTTGTAAAACAAGTAAAACATTATTTTATTATTATTATATATTTTTATGGCTTAAGTTAAAAAAAATTAAGTATAATCAATGAAAATCAATAATAAAATATAGGCAGGCAAACTTAAGTTAAAAAAAAATTAAGTTTAATCAATGAAAATCAATAATAAAATATAAGCAGGCAACAGTATTTACGGGAAAATGTATGAGAAGTTGCCTAAGTCTAATAAGTTGTCTTTGAAGAATTAGCCTATTCTGTCAAAATAAAAAATACCATTAAATAATAGCGTGAAGTTAAAATGTGTAAACAGAAGGGTTTATATTGATGTTTTCATTTTTATTCGATAGAAAACAGAATGAATAATTAAAACTGGTTTCCGATCATTAAGTCACAAAACTGCATTCCAGCCACATACAATAATCAAAGGCAGAAATCCTAAAATCTAGTCCATGCTGAATGAACGTTTAAGAATAAAGGAATGTTTAAGAACATCGTAAAATGATAATTTATTGTTTATTTAAAACCTTTCAAGTTTCTGATGTCTACTATTTCCAGTATTACTTTTATTAATACAAAAATAAAGGTAATTTTCCTTCTTATTGTACACCTATCCATTTATTTATTTCTTTGATTTAATTTCCACTTTGCTACTGAAAATTGTTATCATTTTCACTGCTTTTTTTGCTAGTATTTTTACAATTTTCAACACAACAACTCCGGTTGCTTATTGTATTGTTTTTACCTACTTTAAAAAAAATATATGCGTGTATTTGATATGCCAAAAGTATCGCTTTTATTTCCCATACCATGACTTCGCACTGAGCGAATATTATAAAAACAAATAACAAATAGTGAAACACTGGTTGTTAAATTTGAAAAAGTTTTAGATGTTTAAAGATTAGAAAGTTGGTGCCTCCGTCTAAAATCGCTTGTACCTAAAAATAAACTTTTGATCCTTTCAGATGTTTTAGTTAACCCTTATCTTTATATTTACCAATTATTTTAACTTAACTGTCAATAACAAAGTTTTTTTAACTTTATTGTCATGAACAATTTTTCAGAATTTGTTCACACAAACTGACAACATCGCAGAATTAAAAATAAATTAGTATTAGAACGTAACATTTTGCGCTGAAATCAATGGAGTCATTTAAAAACATTTAACCTCTTTCGATGTAACGAAACACCCTACATATTTCGAAGCAATTTAAAAATATGCAAAAAAGTAAGCCTTATCTTTTATCTAAAACGTTTTCTTAAATGTCTAATGAACCACCCTGTATAGTAATTTAGCGATTAGACCAAACGTCATTTGCCAAGAGGAAACAGCGAGGTCTTTCATATCGTCTCTTATTTTTGGGGCGTATCCATATTGTATCCATATTTGTATTCTTCGACACTACTAATTTTTGTTAAAAATGTATTTTTACATCAATTTAAATAAACTTTAATTAATTGATTGATTTGACACAAGCACAGTGACATGACAGCAAATATTGTTTACGTTATTTTCGAATTTTAAGCCCAAAATTAGTCAAATAAATCAACCAAACGTTGTCTATAAAATTGACTGCAAATTCTGTAATTCCACTTACATAGGACAAAGAAAACAGTATCTACATAAAAGAATAAAAAACCATAAAAATAATATCGCAACTAATAATGAAAATTCCACTGCCCTAACTAAACATGCGTTAGAAAATGTGCACTCTTTCGATTTTGAAAATGTAAGAAATCTCGAAAATGAACCTAATCTCAACAAAAGAACAATCGATGACACATATTAAAAAAAATAACAACTCTAAATAATAAAACAGACATAAAAGAATTGTCAAATGTTTATTTTAATATTATTAAATAATTGTAAGCTTTCTAGTCCTTAACTGTAACGCCACTGGTAATTTTTAATTTTGTAAAAACTCATCTTTTTATTTCCCTACTTTATCGTTATCGTGTTAAACCAGATCAATATTATTTCGAATACACCTTCACACGCTGAAACAAAAAGATGTGGTTTCTGTTATTTAAAAAAAATTTAAACTGTTGGTAATCATCCCCATGTGTTTTTAATTTTTTTAAATTTTGACTGCACCTGAAGATGGAAACAAAGTTTTCCGAAACATATGTAGTGCTATGATAACGATAGAAAATAAAATTTATGACCGAATAAACCAAGGAAATTTTTATTTATATAAAATTATTGTTTAGTTGTTATCAATAATAAATCTATTCTTATAGATATCACAGCTATCTTAGTTATAAGAAAAAATTCTAGTTAATATCAAAGACCATTTGAATATAAAATAATGTATGAAACGGATGGAAAGTGTTTTTTTCAGACTCCTACGACCTGCGAGTTGCCCGAAAAACTTAACTTTTTGTCCTTGTATTGTAACAACTATTATTGTGACCCCTTCTACGTTTCCATATAAATAAAATTAAACAAAAAACAATAAAGAACAATATTTTTACAAAAATAAAAGCCAACTAGCAGATATCGCTAAAAACACTTACCATTTTGTTAAAATTTCGTACCTCTCGATCAACAAAACACCGACAAAAAATTTGCCGAAAACGAAAAAAATCTTGAGAAGTTTCAATGTCAATGAAGGAAACATTCAAATTTTCCAAGTATATACCGCCTCGGAAGTTGCGTCTTGCGCACAACTCCCTCATTTCTAAAACTGACATTATACGAAAAGTTAATGAGGTGTGAATATTCAATTTAATTCATTCGAATGATAATTTGTGAGTTGTTACATTAAATGTGGACCAAACGTTTCGTATTCCAAGTTCTTAATAGAAATCTTAATAGCCACAAGTGTTAATGGCGATTGTTTAATGTTTAATCTCCTACAGGGGCGGTTTGTTAGGGTGGATTTTCCCAGCAAGAATTTGGTTTAAGTGAAAAATGTATAATAGTGTATTTTAGGTATGTTATTCTCATTAAATGTTGTCCCTCTTACAGAAAATAGCAAACGGGGTGTGTAACGTATTTGTTAGCACTATATAGCCCAAACTATCCGGCCAATTTTGATGGAATTTGGAAAATAGGGTTCTCAGAGGCCCTTGATTAGATTTTGGGCATATTTGGAGCAACCGAGAGGTTACTTTATAAGAGAATGTTTTTCTACTTTTTGGTATATGTCTGTTATTTATGATTGGAGAAGAAAATTATTTTAATAAAAGTTGTTTATGATGTTATTATCTATAATACATCATGTCCCTAAAATAAACCATATTGGAGATAATCGATGAAAAGCACTAAAATGCATTTTTTTGTTTAATCGGGCTCTAATTTTAGTAGAAAATCATGTTTTGGGACAAATCAGAAATAAAAGATATAAATTCGAAAAGAATAAAATAATAATAATCATAATAATAATAATAATAAATTAGGGGGGTGGGTGGCTCAGTGGTAGAGTCTCTGCCTGCAAATCCAAGGGTCCTAGGTTCGAATCCCACCGTTGACTGGGATTTTTTTATTTAATTTAATTATTTAAAATTAATCCTGATGCCTTGGTAGGATTCCCCACTCGACCATTCACTGTTGGGTTCTAATTAACAATGCTGTTCCTAATCTGGCGCTTGGAAACAGTAACAAAGCCTACACCTAACACGAGGCAAAATAACCTTAGTAGTTGAAGCCGATTACACAATAATAATAATAATAATAACAGGGGTGGCACAAAATTGATCGAAAAACATTTGATCGAATTGGAAATTTGATCGAAAATACATTTTATCGAATGGAATTTGATCGAAAATACATTTGGTCGAATAACATTTGATCGAAGATATATTTTATCGAAAAGACAATAGATCGAAAATTCATTAGATCGAAAGGACAATATATTGAAAATTAACATTAAAAATAGTAAAATATCAAAAAATCAAACGATATCATTCAACCGTTCGTCTAATCCCTACTACCAGGGAAACTAAACTAAGCGACTATCAAAATTAGGTACTAATGGCAAATTTTTCAATAATCTCAAATGATAGCTACCTCGTTTAACAAATTTTATCCTTACAATACTGTTAATTTAAAAATAATTATTTTAGAGCTAAACGGTTATTTATCTTCATTTGGATTAAAAAAATGAGATTAATTCGCACAAAATATGAATTTAAATAAGGTCGAGTTGTCTCCCGATGGGACATTTTAGGTAAATTATTTTAAGATTTTTTTTATATAAAAAAATTTAATTAATTTACCTAACCTGTGCGACCTGGAGCCGTCGCGGTTTGCTTCGCAAAAAAATATAAAAAAATAAGAAAAAATAAGAAAAGCTCCAGGCCGCACAGGTTAGGTAAATTAGTTAAAATTTTTGTTTTCATTTTTCTTATTCTATAATTTTATGAATATTTAGTTTGTCGATCAATTGCTTTTTTTATCAAATCATTTTTCTTTTCGAACAATTGTTATTCGATAAAATGTTTTTTCGATCAAATGTTTTCGATCAAATGTATTCGATCAAATGTTTTCGATCAATTTTGTGCCACTAATAACACAACATCAGATGAACTACTATTACATCTGCTACAAATTCTTTCTGTGCCCATGCCTTTGGTAAGATACATTGAACAACTTATGCCGTTCTGGAAATCAAAATTTTCCATAACAACTGGAAACTCGAAAGTAATAACAGAGCCAGTAACATTTAAGAGAGGAGTTTTTCAGGGCGACTCACTCAGTCCCCTGCTATTCTGTATTTCTCTACTCCCCATTTCGGTAGCTCTTCGGAAAACTCGCTGATATCGATGCGTCACACCTGGGAATCGCACACACAAGGTCACACATCTGTTTTATATGGACCACCTTAAGGTCTATGCTATGAGCGACCGATATTTGCAACAATCTCTGAAGGTGGTGCAAGAATATACACCAGTATTGAATTTGGATTGGACAAATGCGCCGTTCTGAGACTTCAGAAAGGCCGTTGCGTAGACCAGCCTGAGAACGAGCAACTTACTGACGGAAGCATACTTCGTCACTTGGAAAATGACGAAACCTACAAGTATCTTGGTGTTGATCAACACCGAATGCATGACACTAACAACGTCAAAAAACGCCCCGTAGTAAGTATAGGCAGTGTCTCCGGAAAATATGGGAATCCCAGCTTTCCGAAATCAACACAATTGCTGCCACTAATATGCTTGCCGTTCCTGTGCTCTTGTATTTATTTGGCGTGCTCAAGTGGAGGCGAGAGGAACTACGGGAACTGGATGTAAGCACACGCAAAATGATGCATATGAACAAAAGCATCCACCCACGCTCATCGGTCTCACGCATTTACCTTCCACGTCATCAAGGGGCAGAGGTCTTCTGAGTCTGGAGAGGTTGCATGATAGATTAACTGTGAGTTTGGCTTGCAGCTGCCGCTGGTTCGAGACCATGAAACAACTGGTATCGGGGCCTTTCTTTTTAAGGTTGCAGGTAAAGCTGCGGATGAACCAGGTCTCAGATTTGAAATAGATGACAACCAATCTCTTACAAGGTTGGAACCCGCTCAAGTAAAACGTCTAGTTAGGGCAGCAGAACATTGGAAGACCACGTCAGCAAACCCCAACACGGTGTTTTTAACAGGAACATAGAAGATCTCAATCTATCTCGGGAATTAACTTTCTCCTTTCTTCGATCAGCTGACCTGAGTTTGAGACAGAAGGATTCTTGTTAACTTGTCAGGATGGCGTAATTAATACTTTCGAATACGGCGCTCAATTTACGAATGTGGCGGATGTTAGATGCAGAACATGCCAACAATACCCGGAGACATTAATGTATCTTTTGTCCACTTGCCCAGTGCAAGCTGTGTCTGGGTACATCTACAGGCACAACGCCGCATTGCGAGTTCTCTACTATCATCTGAGACATCACTACGGTATAGATTAGACACCAGTTCTGCCATACCCCCCAGAAGAAATTGAAGCGGTAGTGTAAAATGACAATTGCCGTATTTATTGGAATTACGCTTTTCCCACAACAACCAGACTCCAAGCTAACAAGCCCGATTTGGTGATATTGGACAAGCAGAATCATTCAATGTTTGTCATTGAGTTTTCTGCACCAGCTGAAACCAACATTCTTATTATGGAGAGGGAAAAGCGTGCTAAATACATTCACCTGATTGGCGAGTTGCAAAGAAAGTATCCAGAATATAGTGCAAGAATGCTAGTCCTAATTGTGGGTGTTTTAGGGGGAATCAAGGACACTATGCTCAAAAGGAGCTACAAAAAATACCGGCTTGCCGAGACTCATCAAAACAACTAGTGGTGAAGTTGCAGAAAGCAGTAGTCCCTGGGTCCCTTCGTCTTTTGAGGCAATTGAATTTGGCCGAAGATCACTAACCGAGCGGATGTAAGCAGTGATCTTCTCAGCGACCAGGCCTTTCGCGTAATGTACTGGGTGTGTCGGAGCCCCAGGAACGTTGCGACGAATTTTTTACACATAATAATAATAATAAAGGGGTGGATGGCTCAGTAGTAGAGCCTCTGCCTGCAGATCCAAGGGTCCCAGGTTCGAATCCCACCGTTGGTCGGGTTTTTTTTTATTTAATTTAATTATTTAAAATTAATTCTGATGCATTGGTAGGATTCCCCACTCGACCATTCGCTGTTGGGTTCTAATTAACAGTGCTGTTCCTAAAATGGTGCTGGGAAACAGTAACAAAGCCTACACAGAACACGAGGCGAGATATAACCTTAGCAGTTGAAGTCGATTACACAAAAAAAATAATATTAATATATTGGGGTGGGTGGCTCAGTGGTAGAGGCTCTGTCTGCGGATTTAAGGGTCCCGGGTTCGAATCCCACCGTTGGCCAGGATTTTTCATTTAATTTCATTATTTAAAATTAATTCTGATGCCTTGGTAGGATTCCCCACTCGACCATTCACTGTTGGGTTCTAATTAACAGTGCTGTTCCTAAAGTGGCGCTGGGAAACAGTAACAAAGCCTACAAGGAACACGAGGCGAAATAATAATATTACCCCTTAGGGGTGAATTTCAACCCCTGAGCCCGACTGAGTTTGTGTGGGGAAGGGACGGCTGTTATTAATATTTGTCGTGGCGCTCCGGGGTGACTTAAAGATGATTGATGGTGACATTTAAATTACAGGTGGGGAAAACTCGGAAAACCACATTCACCATCACCAAAACGGTAACGCATGGCGATTTGTAATCTGGATGTCGTATCAAGAAAAATTAAATTACATGAAATCCTATAACGAACCCCGAAAATTAATTAAAAATGCACATTGTTTGCTGTAGGATTCGAATCCGCTTACCTTTCAACCACAAAATTGCCTATAAGTGAATATAAACGCGTGAGACAACTACGCTACCGAGCCGATTATAAATAAGAAGTAACAAATTAATTGCTGCCGGAGACAATTAGAAAAACCTGCACCAACAGTTCATATTTATACTTTTGGAAAGAAATAAAAAATAGGAGTTTGCGAATATAACAAGTAGGTGTACATGAAAATTCTTACTATTAAATATATATTTTTCTTTTTTGATACTTAAAAATTACAATTAATATTATTCTCGACATGAAATTGGAGTTATCTCCTTGTATTATATGAACCAAATT